AGCAGGAAAATTCTGACAGTTGCTACGATAAGAAAGAATTCTTTTTAACTTAGTAGTTCTTCAAGTATCGCACTTTTATTACTTTCCTTTTTTAGATGCTCAGAGGAGCAAGTCTACGGAATCGTGGGAATCAAGGTCAGTCATGTAAACAATGTCCTGCTGTCCTCATGGAAAAACATACTTTATATACCTCATGTTTCTCTAGACTGCAGTAAAGTTATGGTATACTTGAAACACCGGCAGTACGAAACAGAAGCGCTAAATGATAGACGGCTGCCTATTCTCTTTAACCTAAAATGAAAATTTTGTTTTTTATCTTCTTAAATGGATTGGGTCACTACCAAACTCAAAGGGATGTAGGCCTTTGCAGTGCAAGGAAGCCCACAGAAGAGGGGAAAGAGAACCTTCTCAACAGATAAACACATAATTGAGCTGTCATACTGATACGATATGTGCCCCAGCGCTCAAACTGTTCTATTCTTCGCAATAGAGATCTGAGATTCACGTATTTGCATCTAATTTGGAGAATCATGTGTCAGAGCCAACCGTCAGATTTGGCCTTAGTAAACTTCTCCCGCACTCAAGGTAGACAGACGAATTATTTATTTTCAAGTAAAACCTGCTTTGAGCACTTAAACAAAAATTTAGCAGCCCTGAAAGCTATACAGTTCAAAATGACCTTAAAACGACCAACAATAAAGTGAGCGTTTGGGTTCGATTGGGTAGCGGCTTTTAATTTTCTGTCTAGAAGAGTAGATGAGCATTTCAAATACTCCCCACTACCCTGTGATCTAGTTACTTCAAGATGAGCCTTGTTGTTCTTCAAATTGGCATATGTTTCTTAAGTGTATTAATGCATATGAAGTGCTCTGGCATAAATAACTGCTGCTGTGTAATTACAGGCATGTTGTATCACAATTGCAGGGGCTGCCTTCTGTGTAAAATATTTCAGAAATTTCCCAAAAGTTATGTTTCGAAGTATATTACGACTATACAAATAAGGAATCACAAATTGAGGCAAATGATTGCATCCCAGGTATGTGTATAGGTAGAAAAAAGACGGCACTTCGATCATAGTTTTATTCATCTGCGCTTTCGAAATCTCACTGGAGTCCTCCGTCAAAGATAAAAGCGTTAACAAAAAACAAGCAACAGTCATGGGGCAAGATAAAAGCGTCAACATCGCCTTGCAAAGGCATTTCCGGACTGACGTCACTGGTGGTTGATTGGCCCCTGCCCCTTCATAAACTTATGCCGGAGCGTGCACTCGTATCTTGAACTACTCTTATCACTTATTTGGTCGTTCTCAAATTGATAGCGATCATGCTTGACAGTGAAAGATATTGCATCAATAGGGCTTCTCAGGATGTGTGCAACATCAAGCCCACATAAGCTGAGTGAAAAAATGGCATCATTTGTTTATTTGAAAGCACGAGTCATCGTCACATTCCTGCAGACACTTAATAGCTCCGGTTGCGTTCTAGAGTTTCCTCTGAGCGATACCTTTGAAGAGCAAAATTGCAAGCAGTATTTGTTTTACTGATAACAACAGATAAAAGTTACCATTTTGAAGCATAAGAATTTTGGGCTTTTTAGAAATAATTCGGTTTGCTTAAATGAACACCCTGTTTTGCACTCTGAAAGCCAATAAGGGAGCAACTGAGTGATTCGAAAGATGGATATTTGGTTACTTCTGAAGT